CGCCCCCGGTGAGACCCGCGCGCTCAGCCGCACCGCAGACAACCAATCACCTTCCGTTCCCACGTTCCATCCCTTTTGGGCGTCTGCCCTCAGCCAAAATGGCGCCGCCTCGGAAGTTGCCGAAGCTCCAGAAGTGGCCGAAGCAGGTCCGGAAGCTGCCGAGCGAGTCCGGAAGTTGCCGAAAGAGAGCAGCGGGTAAGGAGGATGGCGGATGTCATCGCAAGACTCCGGGAGGACGGGATCCAAAAGCGTGTGATACAGGAGGGCCGGGGGGAGCTCCCTAACTTTGAGGATGGAACCAAGGTCAGTGCCGCACCCCGTCCCTTTAACCCTCTGCGGCGCGGCGCGCATGCGAGGCGGGAGGAGGCCTGTAGGCGAGAGGTTGCGCATGCTTAGAGAGCAGCGGCGACCCTCCCGCTCCCGCGCCGAACTCGACGCTGATTGGTCTGCATTTAAGTAGGGGGCGAATGGGCGCGCGTCTGCCCCGCCCCCTCGCTCGGCCGGCAGGCGGCGCACGCGGGCTGCGGGGCTTTGACCTCGGCGTCTGCTTGGACCCTGAGCTGCACACCCGGGATCTGGGAGGGGGCCCCGGGACCTCTGGGCTGCAAGGCTTAAGATCCTTTATAGATGGAAGGGTCTTCTTAAAACACCTAGGCCAGCCCCCCTCGTGTAGATGGGGAAACTGAGGCCGGGGAACAGGCCCGGAGGTCAGGTCTGCGGGAGCACAACCCTTTGGCAGCTTTCCAACCGGTCTCCGGTGCATCGCTCCGGGCTGGGACGCAAAGAGCCTCCTACCTCCCTCCTTTGTACGCCCAGGGCCCTCCTGACCCCTGCCCTAAACCTAGGTCTCCAGGCTCCCCTGCCTCTGCTGTGCATGCAGCCCTCCCCTCCGGGGGCGCCTTTCCCACTTGCCCCTTGTCCGTAAAGTAAGGACCTTCCCTGGGGCAGCTCCTGGGCCCAGCAGGCATGTTGAGCAAAACACTGAAGATCCCAGGCCGGCCCGGGGTGGGTGCGAGCGCTCCGGGAGCAGAGGGGCACCGCATGGCTCTAGTGAGCATTTACATTAAGAGGGATCTTTGCCCAGAGAGAAGGGGTTTGGCTGCCTGTGCCCATGGGGTTGGTGGCCTGGAAGAAGGTCTTGGCAAGGGAGATTCCGGATGGAACAGACATCAGAAGCAGAGAACGTTATAAAGATAGTGAAGACCTGGGAACAATGACGCCGAAATAACAGGGACAGGTGATATTAAATGACAAACCACCGGCGCTGATTTAGCGCTCACTCTGTGAGCACCAGGCTAAACGTTTACACGTTTATTTCCTTTCGTTTCCACAACGTGGGGTAAGTCCTGTTGTTGACTTTGTTGTACTGATGTGGAAACGGAGCTCAGACAGGCAGCGGGGCCTGGTGATGAAAGAGTGTGGGCTCCTCTAACCATATCCTGTGGCTCCTCCTGTTCTCATGCCCCACTGCAAATCCTCAAAATGCACCCAGGGTCTTACCGCATTTTACCACTTCTCCCATTACCACTCTGGTCCGGGCCACCCTGGGTTATGGCAGTAACCTCCTAACTCGCCTTCCTGCCCCTGCCCCCGCCCCCCTACAACCTGCTCTCATCCCAGGAGCAGCAGGACACACATCACATCACGTCCCTCCTCCGCTTGGATCCACCGAGTGGCTTCCATATCAGTAAAACAACAAGGCCCTCACCACACATGGCCTACCGGCCCTGGGGGGTCCACCTTGGACCCCGTGACTCCATGGTGCACCCTTCCCCTGCAGCCACCCTGCGTCGGCCACCGTGACCCTGCTGCTGCTTGAACTCACCATGTGCTGTCCCCCTTCGAGGCTCTTAGGCTGCTCTTCTTTTGGCCTAGAGAGTTAATACCGGCTTGCTACCACCTGGCTTGCTGCTCAAAGGGTGCCTTGCCCACCCCGTATAAACCCCTCCTGCCTTGCCTGCTGCGGCTTGCTTTCCGGTCCATAGCACTTACCTCCACCTTACATAGCACATCCTTGTGTTTGAGGCCCATCTCTTTCGTCTAGAGTAGACGGTCCACGCGAGCTCCGCGGGGGCAGGGATTTTGTCTGTTCCCTTCACTGCTGTGTCCAGCACAGAGCTTGGGTACATAGTCGGTGCCCAGTAAATATTTGTTGGGAGGCTGATTGGAGTCAGGCTGCTGGGCTACCACCCCAGGCTGCCCACCCACTAGCCATGTGACTTGAGCCCCTTACTGCCCTCTCCTTCGCTTACTTTCCTCGCTCGGGTGGTGGGGTGAGAGGTCAGGTGGTGAGCCCTGGGCAAGCCCTGTCCCTTATGCTGTCTGCAGGCTGGGAGCCGGCCTTGTTCTTGGGGGCTGGGCGAGGGTTCACGCCCTTGCCTGGTCCCGCATCCGCCTGCAGGCCACCTTCCACTACCGGACTCTGCGCAGCGACGAAGAGGGCACTGTGCTGGATGACAGCCGTGCGCGCGGCAAGCCCATGGAGCTCATCATTGGCAAGAAGTTCAAGCTGCCCGTGTGGGAGACCATCGTGAGCACCATGCGCGAGGGGGAGATTGCCCAGTTCCACTGCGATGTCAAGGTGCCTGGCGTCATGCGTCTGCCTGCGGTGTCTGTCCTGCTATCCCTGTTCCCCATCCCAGGGCCTCTACCCTGGCTAGGTCACCTCCAGCTCCCTCCAGGTCACTGCACCACCAAGGACACCAGCATCCCAGCCTCTATTCTGCCTTCTCCTCTCCATTAGCCAGACTATAGCCATGGGACTGGTTCTCAAATGAAAATGACACGCTCAACTCCTTGCTTCAGGCCTCTCTGGCTCCTGGTCATCATCAGGCTTGAGCGGAAGCTCTAGCTGCGCACTTGGCCCTGTAGGGTCTAGCCCCTGCCAGTCCCCCCTTCTTCCCTCCCCACCCTGCCTTTCCTTTCCATCCGGTTTTTGGCCAAGATTCCCCCTCATACCTCACAGTGAATTCCTGGGTCACCACCCCCAGGAAGCCCTCCCCGACTGCTGATAGTTGGCCTGAGCCCCTCCTTTGGGTCCTCCAACCCGTCTTGCCTTGCGTGGTCGGGATCTGTTCCTCTGCTCAGGTATCAGCTACTTCAGGGCAGGGGTTGGGCTTGTTCCCGCCACTTTCAAGATGCCCGGCATGAGCCAGCCCAGACCCAAGGCTCAGGGGTCCGCAGGCCAGGTGCAGTGGGGCCGGGGAGAGCCCGTTAGACTGGGCGTCTTATTCCCACCTTCCCAGCAGCTGTTCCTGGTGGAAGGTGGAAGGCGAAAGGCTGGGTCCCCTATGCCTGAGGGTCTCCCCTGCTCTGGGTTGTGAAGTTGCCGCCCTGTGCTCAGGCCCTGGATGGGGTGGAGGGGGCAAGAGAGAAGGCAGAGGGTCTGGGAACAGAAGGTGGAGGGACCCCAGCAATGGCGAGTCCTGCCTGTGGGCTGCACTCCTGGGAGGAGAAGAGGTAAGAGTTCCCCGGGGCCTGTAAGGACAGGGGAGACGGGTTGACAGTGGAAGTGTGTGTTTGTGGGGTAAGTGCGTGGCTTGGTTTGGTGGCCAGAGAGGGTAGAAAGCTGGGAGCTTCATCAGGAGAAAGGGGGCTGGGAGGCTGGCGTCCCAAGGGGAAAGCGCTCCTACGTTTCAGCAGAGAGGGGCTGAGCCAGCTGCAGCCCACCTCTGGGCCTCAGTGTCCTTTCTCCGGTGGTGACTGGGCGGGGGCTGGCTTCTTGGGCCACAATGACAGAGCCCCTGCTGCCCACTTGCCCTCCTGCAGCACGTGGTCCTGTATCCACTGGTGGCCAAGAGTTTACGCAACATTGCAGCCGGCAAGGACCCCCTGGAGGGCCAGCGGCACTGCTGTGGCATCGCCCAGATGCACGAGCACAGTTCCCTGGGCCACGCCGACCTGGACGCCCTGCAGCAGAACCCCCAGCCCCTCATCTTCGACATCGAGATGCTCAAGGTGAGGGGCCGCCAAGGCTCAGGCGCCCGGACAAAGTGCCACTGCCCAGCCTCAGAGTGGGCGCCGGCCCCGCCTGCCCGCGCAGGGCTCGTGGGCTCCATGGATAGACTGGTGGGGGGTCAAGGCAGGGCAGGTGCAAGAACACCTGTGCGGGACCCCTGGCTGTGCCTCGGGCTCCCTCCTGTGAGGGCAGCGATCTTCACCGCCTTGTTCACTGTTGTTTCTAGAACCTGGCACAGTGCTGGGCACGCAGGAGATGCTGCACAAATGTCTGTTGAGTGGTCAGTGAAGGATCGAGCGGCTGTGGTTTCGGTCTCCGTTTCTGGAGGCTGAGCAGCTGCGGTGCCCGGGGGCTCCCCCTGACTTGGCCCACGCCCCCGGCAGGTGGAGGACCCTGGCACATACCAGCAGGACCCCTGGGCAATGACAGACGAGGAGAAGGCGAAGGCGGTGCCGGTCATCCACCAGGAGGGCAACCGGCTGTACCGCGAGGGCCACGTGAAGGAGGCGGCCGCCAAGTACTACGACGCCATCGCCTGCCTCAAGAACCTGCAGATGAAGGTGCTGCCCGAGGCCGCGCAGGTGGGCGGGGGCGGAGGGGCGCCCGCGCCCGGCTCTCAGCACCCGTTCCCCTCCCCCTGCCCGACGACCCCAGGAACAGCCCGGGTCCCCGGACTGGATCCAGCTGGATCAGCAGATCACGCCGCTGCTGCTCAACTACTGTCAGTGCAAGCTGGTGGCCCAAGAGTATTACGAGGTGCTGGACCACTGCTCCTCCATCCTCAACAAGTATGACGGTGAGCGCGCGCCGGGCGCTGCCGCCTGGGCGGGGCTCGGGCGGCGGCCTCCCCTCCCCTAGCGCCCTGGGCACTGGGCTGCAAGACCCAGCCTTTGACATCACCCCATCTGAGCTCCCCCAGCTCGGCAAAATACCCCCCCCCCCC